GCTGACTGTTTACCAAAGCTAAAAGTGAACTTTATAACAGGGCTGTGTCCAAAGCGGGGGCTGGGGGGCCTTTTTTGGCCGCTGAACTGACTGCTGAAAGTGTTAAACAAACAGAGGATTGGCCTTTTGACCTTCTCCTCCATTCTTTATTACAGTAATGAAAGCAGATCCTGTTCTGAGACCTGAAGTGATTCCATGTTTAGATCTGCAGAGCGGCGCCAGGCGGCGCTCTCAGATCAGCGTCGTACGTAGCAACAGCCTCAGCTGCACGTCGCCACCTTAGACCACCTGGCCCAAATCACACCAACGTGGCAGCTTCCTGTTCTTAGTGGGCGGGGCTAAAACTATTTCATCCAATAACGGTTCATTCTTTTTCATTTTAGCCCAAATTAGACTTTTTTTAAAGTTTCATCTCTTCATACACTATATCTGATTATATTCTTTTTATAAACCTTTTATTTAATCTTTTAGTAAAGCATCTTAAATACCACGATAATCACATTTAATGAATTTTAATCCCAATTAAGACCTTAATTTAAAAAAATTATCATTTAATAACTTTTAATGATTTTTAATGACCTACGGAAACTCTGCCTTAGACTTGGTTAGATGGAGACGTTTTTTAGAAACTCAAAGTTTCAAATTAATGTTGATTCAAAAAGAAAAAAAAAACTCTTGAGGGAAAAAATTATTTAACTTACAAATTATTCCCAGATTTATAGATTCTGCAACAAAAACGCTCAAAAAGCAAGATGGATGTTTTCTCTTCCTGCCTGATTTTCACAGAAACGAATCGTTGCTCTCAGACCATCAGCTGAGATAAGGACTTCAGGATGCAGACGCCCCCTGGTGGTCAAAGGTCAAGTTCCCTGGAGCGGCGGCGGCAGCTCACCTCTAACAGAACCGTTGGTCCCAAACTCGGAGTCGGATGTGCTGACGTTGTGGGCGTTGTCTGGAAGCAGGAAGACAGAGGTTTAAAACATCACAGTCTGTGTTCTGTGGATTCAATCAGACAAACTCAGACATGCATATTTTAAAAGGAGCAGACGTTCTGCAGAACCCAAAACCTCAGAGAATCAGTATTTAAAAAGGTTTTACGAGGCAGCAGCTCCTGGTTCTGACCAAAGAAACATTTCACAGTAATGAGAGACGGTTTAACTAGTTAAACATTGTTAGGAAGACTTGAAGTCAGAGGCTCCAGGAGGAATGAGACAAACATCACAGCTGAGTCAGCATCCCTGGTTTGCTGAAGTAAGCAGAAGGATAGAAAAGCAAAGCAGATTTCCTCCTGAACCATGTGACCCAGAGAACACGGAGCGAGTAGGACTGATGAGGTGGACTTACTGTAGATGAACTGCCCGGTGTTGTAGAGGAAGTTGGACATGAGGACCCAGTAGACCACCATGGCTCCAACAAGGGACACCATGGAAAACAGCAGGCTGGACCACTGGCCACACTTCCCAAAGTAGAACCTGCAGACATCGGGGAACTCCCAGTTGGACGTGTCCTCGCCCTCTGAACAAGAGACCACAGAGGTCAATAGGTCAACCTGCTGCTCAGGGTCCGCATCAGCCATTAGCTCAACTAGTGGAAAAAATACGATTAACTAGAGCCGAGTTTAATGGACTAAAAGATGTTTAAATTAGGACTGAAACAAGTCATCGGATTAATCCATTAAATAATCTCCAACTGATTGAAATAATT